CCACCAGATCAACCAGATTTCGTATTCCTGGAATTTCCCCGAGGGTGTGGTGTTTAAATATAAAGACAAAAGGGAGAAAATTGACTCGGTTTTTAAAGCGGAAGAATGGTTGAACCAGTTTCATGGATTGAAAAGAGAAGAACAGCCAGACGGAGGGGGCCAAGCAGACACTCTGGAAGAGATGGACGGAAACCCAGGAGGAGCAGAAGGTGGCACGGCCAGAGATGCATATGACTTGCGGCTAAGGGGACCTAAGTAACTCTTTAGAAGTTAAAGACCCGCAACTGAAGAAGAAGATGAAAGAGACTTTGTGCTCACTAAAAAAAAGAAGAAGAAGAAGACAGACAATTACTAACACAGACTCACTAACTCTTGAATTCATTGACATAAACGAAGTTATTATTTTTATGACTAACTGGATACTAACTGTTAAAGACCTTCCTTTCTTGGGCTTTTAGTTATAGTATGGGTTGCTTTATTTGCTGTCTTGTACCCTGGGTTGTTTTTTTCCCTCCCCTTTTCTATTTTCTGTAGTTGTGTAGGTGTAACAAAAATAAATAAAGCTACCCTGTTTTCAGGGGATTAAAAAAAAAACTAGTACAAGGTACTAGTAAATGTTTGTCATGGGCTGCCTCCAGACGCCCGTGGTGTGATCGGCTGGCGCGCGGCATTCCCCTCTGGTCCCTTGTGTACCTGCTGGTGCCGAAGGAAGGACCCGTGGTGTGCTGCTGGTGCCTCTGATCGCGTAATCATGCACCTAACTGCGCCGGGGCAATTAGCCCCACGATATCCGGCCTGTGTGACCGGGGCCTATATCAACATTCCTAATTAACAGAAATTCATCATGTCTCCAGGGAGGCAGGAACCATTATTAAACCCAACCACTAAAGCAAAGAATAGATACTAAAGTCCTCCTATTGCTAGGCAGAGAGAAAAAGGACACAATTCCAGCAGTTTCGTAATGTCTCCCCTGTCTTCCCTAAGGCAAGTATACACATCACTTGACAGGCTGAGATACAGCAAAAATACCTGTGGGTTTTACCTTAAATGGCCAGGGTCCAGCATACCTAAGGGACCGCCTTGCCCCACATAGATCCCAAAGAGCACTTCGGTCGGGATCGCTACATCGTCTCGCGATCCCGGGCCTGAAAGAGGCCAGGCTTGTGGCCACTAGGGCCAGGTCCTTCTCGGTGGCGGCTCCTATCTGGTGGAATGAGCTCCCAGAGGAGATCAGGGCCCTGCGGGACCTGCTGCAGTTCCGCAGGGCCTGCAAGACGGAGCTCTTCCGCCAGGCTTTCGAATAGGAGCTGCCGCCGCCACCACCACCACTACCACCAATGGGGCCTGCTTTACAGCACCGCCGGAAGCCAATGTGGCAAATAACATCAGGAGGCCACAGCAACCTCCCCTGGGATGAAAGGGTTGTGCAACAGGGAGAGAGGGTTTTAGTCACGTGGGATCCTTGGGCTTGGCCCATGTATTAAGTGTTTTAAATTGTTTTTATTGCTGTTTTATCGCACTGCGTGCCATACTCTTGTAAGCCGCCCTGAGCCCGCAACGCGGGGAGGGCGGGGTATAAATAAAATTAAATAAATAAATAAATAAATAAATCAGAACAAAATGCTCATTTGGTAGAAGGCTCTTGTTAGTTTACAAAGACTAGATATAACAGAAGTAGGCCTAAATCATTTCTTAATCCCAGGGTATTCAGTGCTACTAGCCCTCCTATTAAATACAGATACCTGGAAGGCTTTGGCTTTGGGGCATACAGGGAGGTACAGTACAGAGATTTCTCTAGTCTAGGCTTCCCTTGAACACCAAGGCTCTTTGTTTGACATAGATACCTAACAACATACACTATTAATTTACAATGGGAAGAATCACAGAACCAACCAGGTAAAATGTTAAGATACTTAAACCGTATTTGTTAAGGAAATAAAAAAGGCACAGACAGAATTCAGCTCAGAGACAGTTAACTAAATTCTCTCTGCCTTAGCCATTTGGTTTGTGCTTTCACATCAGTTCCTAAATTTTCTCTGCCACCATGAGAAATAGAAATTTGCGAAAGTAAACAAACGATAAAGATGGCGGTGATGAAGGACAGAGAAAAACTTTTGAAAGCGAAAGGGTCTGAGAGCCCGAAACCAGAAGCTACCAGCGAGGTGGCAAAGTCTATAGCGGAATATATGCGCCCTCTGCTGGAACAGCTGAATAACTTCAAGGAACAGATGTCTATAGTGACTCAAAGTATTACTGCACAACAAACCCAGAAAAATGATATGATACAAATAATGAAGCAGCTGCAAATAAAGAAAGCAGCTGCAACTACTCAGAAGGTGAAGAAAAAAGTACAAAAACTGGAAAGGAAACAAATCTCCATGGAAGATCAACTG